GGGGAGCATTAAGGCTTAACCGGAAGAACGGCTTCTACTGCACTATTTTAGATGCGATTTTTTGTTTTTATCTGCGTTTTAGTAGGGTATGCCATGGCAATGCACACTAAGAAGGGATTTTCCGAAATTCCCTCACGGGAGAGAGAGGGAGAGCATTAAGGCTTAATCGAAAAAACGGCTTCTACTGTATTTTAAGTGCGATTTTTTGTTACGTTTAGTCTTCATTAAGTACTTAAGTGTATTAAATTAATAACATTTCAGACATTGTTATAAATATTTTTATATATTTTGATTTTTTAACCAAATGTTCGAACCTTTTTAAATTCGAATTTGTTATTGCGTATTGGTTCGATTACAGAACGATTATAAAAGTTCCAGAAAATTCATGAAATTGAAAACAGTTTGTTTGATTCTCAGCAATTCTCATCATTCTCGGCGATAGGTGTTATATAACAATTACTATGGTTGTTGAAATACTGAATATAAATGGGGTTTGCTTGCAAAACCTCCGCGGGAGAAGTCGCGGGTAACAGCTAGTATTAATATAAAATTCATTTAGTTGCGTTTAGAATTAGACTTAAAAAAATAATACATCTATGATGAAAATTTCTAAAAGGCTCTTAATATTTGATTTTGTTAACAGAAGCAAGTCATATAATAGCAAGAAGCAAGAAGCAAGTTATATGATAAAATATGTTATGTAGTCAAAGTCGTTTATAAGTTTTTATTATGAATAATATATCTAACGAAATTAATAGGTAAGACTATTTATATTTCTTCTACTTAAAAATTAAATATATTCGCATTTCTAGAGAATAAACTTGATATTAAGTAATTCGGGTCTACAAAAATTTTAATATTCCAGTGAGAGAGTCAAGGAAGAAGACATAATAGATATCATTGGACATTGGGGTAAATGGCAGTTGTTCTTGATGATACTTATGATATATATGAACATTCCTAACGAATGCAGCATGTTTGCAATAACATTTATGGCACCGAAAATAAATTATTGGTGCACGACACCATTAAACAGTTCTAATACTACCACTGAAAAATGGAAAAATTTTACTATTCCATTGGAAGAAATTGTCGATAAAGAGAAACCTAATCAGTGTGATGTTTATAGCATTACAGAGAAAGGAGAAAAGATTCGAGTACCCTGTCATTCCTGGGATTACGATCATTCATTTTACAAGTCGACCATAACTGAAAAAGTAAGAAGATCGAAATTATTTTATTCTTAAAAATAAAATTAATTTTTATTTTGTGAAATTTCAATTTAAAAATTCATTTTACAGTGGAATTTGGTATGCAAAAATGCATATTTACCGTCGTTAGTTCAATCTCTCTTCTTTTTCGGATATTTATTATCTACTTTTATCGGAGGACAATTATCAGATAAGTAAGATTTATTACCGTCATTTTTTAAGTTTTGCATATTAACATGAAATTTGTTTGTAATTTTAAGTATTTTCTAAATAGATTTGGCAGAAAACCCGTACTTTATTTAAGCTCGGCGTGGACATTTCTTTTCGGCATGATATGTACATTTTCTGAAAATTTCTGGTTGTTTGCAATATCTCGGTTTCTTCTCGGCCTAGGACAGGCATCTACCTGCTTAATTGTATATGTTCTTTGTACGTGTTATAAACATTAGTACATTTAAATGTTTGCACGAATTATATTTAATTAATTTAACGATTTTTTATGTATAGTAACTGAAGTTGTTGGAAAGGATTATAGAGTAATTGTGGGGTTTTTCAACAAAGTCGGTTGGGGATTAGGACAAATGATTATTCCTGGACTCGTCTGGCTTTTCAGAGACTGGTTTTATATAAACTTAATTTATACTTTGACTTATTTAATATTTCTTCTTTTGTGGTGGTAAGGATTTTCCTCTGCACCTTTGATTTTATTTTACGTTGTCTCATAATATCAATATTTAAATTTAAAACAATTCAATCCACAATAGGATTACACCCGAATCTCCGAGATGGCTTCTTTCTCAAGATCGAGTCAACGAAGCGGAAAACGTGACTATAAATGCGTTAAAAATAAACAAGAGAGAAATCGATCATTTGAACGAGAGACTAAAAATCATTTCCGAGTTGAACGAAAAGGTCATTAATTTTTTGAAAATATAACAAATAAATAACGAATGAACCTTTAAATCAACGTTCGTGAAATTTAAAATAATATCTTTTTAGGAAAACAAAAGAAACCAAAATAACCAGGCGACCTTTTCGGATATAATGAAATCTCCCAATTTACGAAGAATGTCTTTTATATTGTACGTTGCTTGGTAAGTTTTATTTTCGTTTAAATTTTCTGTAAGAACATTGTCGGTAGACTATATACGAAAGGCCTTTATTCGTTGGCTGTACAAAGAAGTTTCTTTACAGGATTTCCACCGTAATATCTTATTACGGGTTATCATTCTCGGCCGACGACATTGGGTTGGACGTGCTCTTATTCTTCTTTCTTTCTGCATTATTAGAAATACCGGCGAGTTTTTCATATTACTACTTTCAGCGATTTGTTGGTAGGAGATATACGCAAATAGCTTGCTTGATAGTAAGTGGATCGGCTTGTCTGGTAGCTATCGCTGTACCTAAAGGTGTGTTTCAAATATGTCCAATTATTTCTTTCAATGCTAAGTATTTTTTACAATTTTCAATAATTTTCATTGCAGATTTCCATAAAGTTCTCATTAGTTTAGCTGTTGTGTCCAAATTCAGTCTGTCCGTATCCTTTAGCTCGTTATATCTTCTATCGTCCGAGATTTATCCCACTGTAGTCCGCAACGTTGGTTTAGGATCTTGCTCGACGGTAGGAAGAATCGGAGCCATAGCTGCTCCTTTCATGAAAGAAGCGGTAAATACTAATGACGTAGTTTATGAATTTCTTAAAAAATTCTGTGTTAACCGTAATAGAGGTCTTGTCATTTCAGGCATCTCAAATAGACAGATCTTTTCCTTTGGCATTATTTGGTACCATGTCACTTATTGGAGGTTTATTAGTGTTTTTCTTACCGGAAACGAAAAACATGGAGTTGGCTGATACCATAGAACAAGGAGAAACTATTGGAAGGTTTGTTCTTAAAAAAAAAGAAACACTTTTTTGATTATTGGTTGATGATTCTAATAATAATAAGTTAGTTTAAATCGTAAAACGGTTCCGTCGTTACTAAGACTGATAGAGTATTAAATATGTAAATAATAATTTAGCTTTGTTTTTCAGGCATGAAGTATACGTGCTTACAAGGAATTTCGAGAAAGAAGATAATGCAAAAGAAAATTGAAGAAACAAGTTTGATGTTTACAATGCACTTAACTATTTGTGATAAGGTAGACAGTTATCTATGAATATTAATACTATAATAAATCTGCTGCTGCGATNCTGCCCAAGAGGAAAGACTCTATGTACATGGATTGCCTAGATAAATAAAATAGGAAATTTAATAGTATAATTGTTGAAAATGCTCAGTACATTTATATACATAATTTTTCTCAATTTTTTTCAATTTCATTACTTACTGCTTCTTTCATAAATGGAGCCGCTATTGCTCCTAAGCGCCCCATCATTGAACATGATCCTAAACCAACATTACGTACAACAGTTGGATAGATCTCAGCGGGTAATAAGTATATGGTAATTAATGATATCGACATACTGAACTTTGATACAACACTTAAAACAATTAGAATGATTGAAAAATCTGTAAAAGTAAATCCACACTTTGTATTTTTAATAATCGGACATTATTTGGTACCTTGTCACTTATCGGAGGTTTATTAGTGTTTTTCTTACCGGAAACGAAAAATATGGAGTTGGTGGATACCATAGAACAAGGAGAAACTATTGGAAGGTTTGTTCTTAAAAAAATACTTTTTAAATATTGGTTGATGACTCTAATAATAAGAAGTTAGTTCATTTTAAATCGTAAAACGGTTCCGTCGTTACTATAACCGATGGACTATCAAATATGTAATTAATAATTTCGCTGTTTTTCAGGCATAAAGTATACGTGCTTACAAGGAATTTCGAGAAAGAAGATTATGTAAAAGAAAATTGAAGAAATACGTTTGCTGTACTGTTTACAATGCACTTAACTATTTGTGATAAGATAAATAATTATTTATGAATAAAATTGCGTTTGTGGCATTATCTTTTATGATATTTTATTATCAAATATTTTTATACTTTTAATGATTATAAAATGGCAAAAGCCTTAATTTTCGGAGTAGAAATGAGTTTTATAATGTTTATAATAACCAGTAAAATCGTCATTATGTCTGACCTTACTAGAGATATGACCTGCAACCCCTTTATTTTCCTTACTCCCTCGATCTTTAACCAGAAAAATATAATAGCATCAATCCCCTAGTATACTAACCTCTATATAAAATTTTTGTCGAAAATTTCAGAAATTTTCGACAAAAAGCACAGGAGTTATTAAACTTCGAAAGGGTACACAACATACACAACATATATACAGAAAAAACCTCCGAAGTTTTTTTTTTTGCATTTCTATACGTTTTAAGGTCCCGAGTCCAAAAGTTAAAAATCTGGGGGTCATTTTTTACCGATTTCCATACTTTCTCTCTGTTATGTCATGGACCAAGTGAACCAATAGGACATTATTTATAATGCCCAGCCATTATGAATAATGACTAAAATGGCCGCGCAGCCTGATAAATATTGACCAGACGTTATGGATACAGCTACATTCCCTTTGAGCAATTTGTTGTTTTTTTAATCACCATTTTTTTTATTAAGAATTCTTTATTTTTGTGAATTATTTCAAATTATTTTAAAAACGGCATGAGATCTTTTAAAAGTAAGTATTATTACCTGTATTAATTAAACTAATGTTAACGAAAATATTAACAAACTTATACTTCAATCAAAAAAGAAACTTCTGGAGTGTCATTTTTGTTATATAAAAAGTTCATTGTTGTTAGTTTTAACCAGTAAGCATTCACGTACAAAAAGTAATACACGAGGTAATTGGTTTACTCTTTATTCTTGGTTTAAATTATTTCCATTAAAATATTCAGTAGTGGCATCGTGTAATAGAACGCAATAAAACTTCTGGCGTTTGTGTATTATACAATACAATGAAATTAACCTGTGATAAAATTGCCGATTGATAACAATGCAGCATAAGTAAATAAGACTATAGTCAGTGTTAATTCGTTTTAAAAAATCTGTCAAAACAATTGCAAAATATACATTATATTCTGCATAACTCTAAATTTTGCAGTTTTCCAATAATAAATTATTCCTATTATTATATCGAACACGTTTTATTTGGGACCTAAGGAGATTATACAACTCAAAACGATTAAACAAAATAGCAAATTTTTGGCTAGTACGATTTTCAAAACCCATTTCTGAAAATTATGATTTTACATTTAGCCTCTTATAGTTCTATAACCACGATTGAGCTTGAAGATTAATTAATTATTCATATAATAATTATTAAATTAGATTTTAGAATTTATCCGTTATTGTTTTTATGCTTTTTCACAATACCGGGTTTAATGAAATGTTACAAATATGTAATAATTTATACTGTTTAATATTTCGTAACAATTAAGCTCTAGCTATTCTATTTATAAACTGTGCTGTACAGCAAAATTAATAAAAGCAGATGCTAATTGTACACAATTATATATGAAATAAAACCATAAAATTGCCAAAAAAACACTTAAATAAGAAACACAATTACCAGAATTAAATAAAACGAATTAACAAAAATAAGACAGAACGTTTAATTATTCGTAATTTAACATTTCTTCTACAGAATAACAACTGTTCTTTCATATTTTGAATCATCATTCTCAGTCTATGATATCGGTGTAAACATACTATTCTACTCCCTGGCTACAATACCAGCTTCTGTCGTTTTTTAATCTGAAATACTATATAATTTCTTTAAGCATAAATGATCATATTTTATTTCCCTTTGCATTGTTTAACCTTTTTTTTTGAAACGATTATTATTATAAGCATAGTTTTGACCTTATTTTTACCAATAACTAAAAATTCACAATTGGATAACAACTTATCACAAGTAAAGAATTAAAAAAATTACGCATGATACGAAATAATTTATATCAAATAAAGCAATGTTTATTAAAGTATGGAAGACACAGTTTATTCAGATATTCGTAACAGAATTATCCTTAGTTACAGTAAATATGTCTAAAAATCTTCCTGAAGAGCATGTTTAGTTTATAATAATTTTCGTTACAGAGTTAAATTCTAGTAACTAATACTGTTTCAAAATTACTTGTTAAAGATATAGTGTTATCAGATATTTTTGAGTAACACAATTATATTTTGTTACAGGAAACACTTTTAATATTTTTGAAGAGGATTTTCATGTTTAAATTATTTTCGTTATAATATTAAATATAAATAAACTGTTATAAAATAATTTAAAAAAAAGGAGGTATAAAATTATCGTTCGTGAATAGTATTTCATAAGCTTGCAAATTTACAGTTAATAATGGTGCTCTACACTGAAAACAATTTTGAGCATTAAAATAGTCAAAATATGTATTGATTACTACAGTCATAATGATAGGTGTTCAAGGACTATAAACATCGCGTAGGGAGAAGTTAATTTAATTAATTGTTTCATTTATCGTGTAAAAAGTGTATGTTCAATTAAAAACAGAAGAATAACTAATTATAAAGATTTAAACAATTGTTTTACTATTGTGAGTACAAAATCAATCATCATTAGAGTATAAAATGTGGAATCGATATTGTATAGAATTGGTCAGGGGTTTTCAACTTGTATTCAACAGTAAAACTTTGAGGTCCCACAATAAAATCTTTATCGATAATCGGGAGTTCGGTATATTTAATAACAGATGGCATCACACATTAATTTTTTTATAATTTGTGGAATTTCGCATTATTTTTTAAAATGAAGATTTTCATCGCAATTCGACAAAATTATTATTTTTTAAATGTAAATTTTATATTATAGCATTGAATTATATCGTAACATAATTGAAAATTATCCGTATTCCTAATGGTCTTATTAACTCCTGTTTGGGTGCAGGGAAAGTCGAGCAAGAGTCCTTGTCTGTTGTTTTGCTTTCTTTACAACGATTTCTCAAATCTTTCTTAGTATTAATAAACTGTAATTTTTATAAATTAAAGTAACAATACTGGAGACATCTTTTGACAATTCTATGAGAATGTTTACACAATGCAAAACGCTTATAATTTTAAATGAAAAATTTTGCTAAAAATACAATTCGCAATTAGATTAAATCTAATAAACTTTTAAATACTTTTTTAAAATTACACTATAAATTTACCGATGTCTATAAATTAATTATTAACATTTATCCATTTTATACCGTACATAATCCTTATTTAAATTTACGTTACTTAATATGTTTTGCTTTTATTTTATTTTCCTTCTTTTTATTAGAAAGTAAGGGCTTCACTTTGATTTAGTTTATTGTCTTTGTATTTAAAAACTGCAAACCTACTTTAGTGTAAATTATAGACAAAAAGTTAATGATGCAAATAACTGAATATTACAAAAATATAACAACTTCAACACAACATGCTCAATACTTTTTACAACTGAACATAATTTGGAGTCCTTGCATTTGAGATTTTTAATAAAATTTTATGCAAATGACTATTCATATTTATTATTTTTTTTCTAACAATTTACCCGTGATGAAGTTTAATGTTTTGTAATGCATTTTTCGAAGAAATATGAGATATACCGATTTCATTTCCATTAATTATTATTGGATATTTTAAATTAACTTATTTGCTGTACTATTATCCTCCACTGCTTCTTGATTTTCTGATTTCTTTACAAGAACATAAGTTGTACATCTAAAATAATATAAATAAAAAACTTATTGTTAATATTTAAAAATACTTTGTTAAAAGGTAATAAAATATTCATTACAGCTCTTAAAGCTATAATAGAACTAGAATATTATTGCATGAAAAATATAGTACATTTACTGATTACTTTGTAAATGAAGATGCTACTAATAGCCAGCAAGAGATATATGAACTAACAAAACTTTGCGTTTTTACAAGATAAATTTAACAATTAAACATCTGTAACGACCTTATTTAATAAATTTAAATGATATAAAAATATTTATAAGTAACCTTTTTAAGGGGTCACGTTTCTACTAAGAGAATATGAATTGGCTTCGTAAGGACATGACTATTCCCCTAATTGCCTGTTAGGATTTGAGGAAAGACAGTAAGGCCTTTGAAGCTAGTGTATGAAACTCTCTAAATAATTTTCTGTATAAATGCATTTGATAAGATTTAAAACAGAACTTTTTAAGATTCTTCGTTGTAAAACGGCAATTTTCTATCTTCTATATACTACGGCAATTATAGTTATCAATAAATTATATTTCTTTATATTTTCGATAGTTAGAGATATTAATAGCGTTAGCACCAACTCTTAAAATCAGAAGTTACAGATCTTTATCGTCTTTACGATAATATCAAAATGACTCCTGAAAATGAAAACGAAATCCAGGAAATCCGTCCCACTTTTAAATTTGTATTATATTGGTAATTCATTTACATTGACTCGTTATAGCTTCATGGGGTCCAGGAGAATTTGAATTACGGGGCGTTTTATGAAACTGTAATGTTCACGTGCAACGAAATAAAACAACATAGTGTTTATGTTGGTTTTTTTTTCATGCATTTTTCCTGTAAGACGTCTCCTAGAAAAAGTTTTTGCAAAATCCTTTTTCGCATCCTTTGTATACTCTGTATACAAATTTTGGTGTCAGTCCGTTTATTGATTACAGTTACAAAGTGCTCTAAATAGGGAAACTAAATATGGTTACCCTGTATATAAAAACAAACAGTATATAAGTATCCCTCGTATAACACGGTAGTTACGTTCCGAAAACTACCGTGTTTTGCGAATCCGTGCTATACGAAACAAAACACAATGCAAGAAGGACTAATGCAAAACATAGGGTTACGTTACATTGCAGAAGTAAGCAAAGTATCCTATTTTTTCCGTTAGTAAGAGAAATGTGTTTATTAAACCAGGGCATACGTCAATAACATAACAAGAACCGATTTTTGAATGGCCCAAATACCCTGTACCACTAGGGATGTAACTACTGGTAAATGCGCTGTAGATGAAGAGTAAATTCTTAGAATATTATAGTGTTTAAGTTCGTTTGTCACATTCAAATCTTTCTCCTGTACTTATTTAATATTAGCAGACGCCATCACGCGTTATTGTGCCTCAAAATGTATCTACTATAAATGTATAACACTTCCCCGTGGGGGGATTTTTCGAAAAATCCCTTCTTAGTGTACATTCTCTTGACGTATCCTATTAAAACGCAAAAAACCGCATCTAAAATAGTATAAATAGAAGCAGAGTTCTTTACGGTAAGCCTTAATCCTGTCCATCTCCCGGGGGGATTTCCACATGTATATTATATAAAAACACGTGCGTATTCGAATGCAACGTTGTATCAAAATTTCAAAGGAATCGGTAGGAACAAACGAACATTACATTTTTATTTATATAGATAGATAGATGATGATCCGCTTTAGTTCATTTTCACAGAAAAGCAAACTTCGGGCGTCGTACTCGCGGAGTTAGCGCCATCTGTTGGACATAAAAGCCTTAATCCTAGATGATATCTTTTAATTTATATGAATGTTTAACGGAATAATATACAGCTTATGTCCACCCTGAAGTTCCATTGTAAATATTGGTGAAAGAATTTTTGAAATCGGACGAGAATTTCGGCGATTACCTCCAATTTAAAATATCCATTAATTA